TCATGACTTTTATGTTGAAGACTCATCATTTGTATCTAGGGGTACTAATTATCCTTAAAATTAGTGCTCCCTCTTGGCACCAGTGAAAGGGGTTTCATTTCTCCCGTAGTTCACTGATTTGCTCAGTGATCCCAGAGGTGACACTGACACCTGCCTCCTGAAGAGGAAGCTGATGGCCTCTCAGTCTGTACATAAACGGGTCCTATATAGGGCAAGAGCAATGACATCTCCTCAGCCCAACATGCTCAGTCTGCAGCCTTCTTTTTCTTACTATGTCTCCTCTCTCAGAATAAGCAAAGTGGTTTTTTTAAAGCTCTCCTCTACCACTTTCTTAGTCCTTCAACTGATACTGTGATGTAGTAGGTGAGTTTCAGAGCATTGGTGGTGGCAGAAGGAGGGCTTGGCAGGCAGGTGTGTGTGTATGTGTGTGTGTGAGTGTGTGTGTGTGTGTGTGTGTGTGTTTAGGAGTATCTGTAAAGGACAAAGAGTGAGGCTGGGAGAGTGGAACTGGATATGTGGGAGAAAGACAAGGGGAAATGAGACAAAGGATAGGAGGAATTATAGCATGACAGAACACAGGGTAGAGAGAGTGGGCATTGGAAGAGACATCAGTGGAACTAGGTTGTGGACACTGGTAGAATTAGAAATGGGAACATGGAGAGAGGCCAGGAAAAAACTCAGGAGGATGTAGGGGGAAGAGAGACTCTTTGACTAAAGGTCTGAAGGCAGTTTATAGAGCTGTCAAAATCAGACTGTACCAGGGAAGGGGATGTCAGTGGGGACAATTCATAAAAATCAGTGTTTTTGATGACTATTTTGTTTTTGGTAAAATAAGCAAAGTCATTGAAGAAAGATTAATTCACTAATTCCATGATTTGCTTGTTTAGATATTTCTTGAATGCCTACAGTGTGTCAGGCTTTTTGCTTGAATTCCTTAGTCCCAAAGTGAGAAGGACTCTGGAGGACATTTTTTTTTTGGTAATCTGTATGTCAGGTGTAACTGAACCTAAAAACTCCTCCTAATTCTGTTTCCCATCCTGCATTTTGCAAAACAGACAGACACTGGGAGAGGAAAAGATTGTGCATGGAGTTAAGGTTCTCCACATTTTTGCTAGTATATCAGAAAAACATAGTGAATGATATTTACACATGATATACAACAATATACTTACTCAAGTTTGGACAAAATCCGAAAATGTTTATAGGAAGTAAAACAAACAGGTAGTGGACATTTTTCTTGAGATGTTTGCTCATTAAAAATATAAGTCATAGTGATTACTAGAGGCTGGGAGTGAGGGTGGGTGTATTGGAGAGGTGTTGGTCAGAGCACATAACATGTCAATTAGGCAGGAGAAATGAATTCACAAGATTTACTTTACCTCCTAGTGACTGTAGTCAATAAAAATATATACTTTAAATTGCTATGAGAGTAGATTGTAAGTGTTCTCACCACATAAAATGCTAAGTATGTGAAGTAATAACATGCTAAAAAGCTTTCTCAGCCATACTCCAGTATATTATATGTATATCAAAATATCACATTGTATGCACTAAGTATATAAAATGTTTACTTTGTTCATTTAAAATAATTTACAAAGATATGAATTCACTATTAAGGATATGTCAGTAAATTAAGGGAATCTTAGTGCTTCTTCAGCATAGGTAACACTGGATTTAGATTATGAAAACATTTTATATGTTATCATTAAGTGCCTGTGAGCAACAGTGAGGTTATAAATCTGAATTTTCTCCAATATATTAAAAGGTAAACCATTTACAAATCTTGATATCAAACCCCATTAGTATGTACAATTAATACATGTTAATGAAAAAAAAATTCTTATGCCATATTGCTCACAACAAATCCTGCCATAAACAGACCAGCCTTATACCCTGAGGCAGGGGGGGTGAGCAATTGTTTTATCCATTAAGGACATGGCTTCAGTGGACAGAGCCTTGTGAAGAAACTGAGTGGTGAAAAATGCTTGAGATCTGAAATGCATGTATAAGGAAAATGTCAAAGTTAATACTTGTATAAATAAATGTCTATGTAATACAAGTAGGCAAAAAGTGACTCCTATATAGTTATCTAGCATATCTGATATGGCTTGTGAATATATTTCAATATATTGTTATGTCATTAAAAGCGTCTTTCAATTAAGATTGAATAAAGACATAAAAGTTCTTTATATAACTCCCTAAAGAGGGAATGGGCATTACCAAAAGCTACAGATGGGTATCACTCTCAGAAAGAAAATAAGACACTGGGAAGAAAAAGGGAGAGCAGAGTCAGGATCTGCAGGGAAGTGGCTGATTTTCTTTAGCCTGGACTGAAATTGCCCTGTGGTTCCTACTCCAGCTTCCTTGGTTGTAGAGGTGAAGCTACTCTCATCTCATTGTGTCCCTGGGGCTTCTCTAAATGATAGAAATAATTTATCTTTGTTTCTGCTGAAATAGGCATTTTTTCAGAGCACATTAAGGAAGTTTTCCAGGTAGTTCTGAGATGAGCTAAGTGGACCTGCCTCGTGCACCCGGAGCCTTCAGGTCTGTTTCTGAGACTCCAGTTCCATCTGAGACACTTGTTCACAGTCCACTTATCTCTTTTTGAGTATTTCTTCATTCCTTTTCCTTCTCTTGCCTCTGGGAAAGAAATTTCCTTTGGTCATATTTGGCTGAAGAACAGGACTTTAACATATAAAAATACATTGAATGATGACAAAAGAGTTAAATGATAAAATAACAATTACTCCTATTTTTCTGAACACTTTATATGGATTAACTCTTCTAATTTTCAAAATTATCTCTTGAAGTTTACAATTATCCAGATCATACAGATAAGAAACCAGAAGCATGCAGAAGTAAAGTAACTTGCTCATTTAGATAGTCAGGAATGACTGAGAAATGATCTCAGGAAGACTGGCTCCATAACTTAATGTTCTCACCTACTGTGCTGTTTTCTCTCATTCCCCATGGTTCCTGGTACCTTCTCTACCATTCTGGCTCATTTTTCTCACTTTGCTGGATATTCTCTTAGAACTCTGGGAGTTACTTCCTGTGAGACTTTAGATGTGCCTGTGTGTGCCTGTGTGTCTCCTTTTCATCTCACCCTGACTTCTTTCTTCATGAGCCTAGAACACTACAAAGGAGTTTGGCAGAGAAGCAGTGGGGCTGAGATCGAAGCCTCAGAAGCTATTTAGTTAAATGAAAGTCCTTCTTTCTATAGGCAATAATCTCCTTTCTAGAACTTCATTAACAACTATATATGCCTCATCACCCGTTGCCCTATTCTGCCTTTTCAATCTCACTGTTGGGGTACTATGATATCATTAGAATTGTAAGCAGAGAACAGGAATTTCTTTTATGTCAATAATACTGTTTAATGAGAAGGGGTATATTAATAACTAGTAGGAGTGTCTGCCTAGCAAGCGCAAGGCCCTTAGTTCAAACTCTAGTACTGCCAAAAAAAAAAAAAGAAAGAAAGAAAGATTGGGAGAAGTAGTGAGAAAATAAATATCCAATAAGTTTCCTTCTAAGGAAAATGAATTTGTTTTCCGCTAGGGATTTTGTTTATGTAAATTTGAGGCCAGTGTGTTAAAATAGAGGCAGAGCCATGCTAACGGTGATCCTTCCTGTCTGTGCTTATCCCAGCAAAGTTTAGCCTCCTTTCTAAGGAGAAGTTGAACAAATATTTAAAATATACTGGCTTGGAGGGCGTTAAACTATTAGCCTGCCTGGCTATTTCTTATTGCATTCTGGCCCTATTCCCTTCCTGTACCCACCTGTAATCTGATTTTTTCCTTCCCCACAGCCCATTAGCCTGTCATGCTCTGAGCAAGTGCATTTGCACAGAGGTAGGGAGATGGAGTCATAAATGGAGGTTTTCATTCAGAAGCCCTCTTAGTATTTATTTGATCCTTTATACTCCTGATTCTCAACTTACTTTTTCCATGATCTCTATTTTTCGTGTTCCTTTCTAGATTCTTTATCACTAATCCTTTCTTAGTCCTAATAGCTGACAGATAGTTAACTCAGAAGCAAATAATTATTTACACAAGTGGTGGAAAAGCTAAGACAAGAGCATTCTATATTTAACACTTTTTAGCAACAGGGAAATCTGATTCTTTCTGAGGATTAGAGAATAAGTGGCATAGGAAGAATGGCTGTGTTAGTGGAACAAGTGGAGGGCAGGGAGCAAAATGTATTGATTCCTTTTCCTCAGACTAGTTTCAGTGGGTGGTAGTGGTTCAGGGCTTCTATGAATAAGGTGATCTAGCCATGATTAAGAGCCACCTGAATGGAACTGTCTGGAAAGTAGCAAAAGAAGTTTATGAGGTGTTGAATAATTGCCCCTCTTGGTTTTGTTGCCTGCCCCACTGCTTACTGACTTTAGGAAATACATGAATCTGGGTCACAGCAGATAAATATATTCCTTAGACTCCTTCTGGATTTCTACTTGGTAGTCTGCTTCCTTATGCAGACAGTTACAGGTACAAGTGTTCTGAGAAATGTTCAAGGTAATAGGTAACTTAATATGATTAAATATAATCAAGTTAAAATATAGTCTAGCTAATAGGTCTCCAGAAAAGAGATAACTCGTTATGAGTACATTACAAAATGATGTGTCTAAAGGAGGTAATTTAAGCTTAAAATTTGGGTAAACAAGTACAAGGGGAGAGAAATTCGTGTACACTCAGGCAGAGTGATATCTTTGTATAAGAGACAAGAGCAACATGGGTAAGGGATAAATAGAGTTTATGTGGAAATAGTAGAATGACTGGTAGAAAGGTAGGGGAGGTCACATTCTGGGGTGCAGGGTGATTGGAGGCAGGTGTAACCTAAAGGTTCTTGAAACAGTATTGCCACAGAAACTCTGAAATCAAAGCATCAAGGTCCAGAAGCCATTCCTCCACCCTAGTAAGTGTTATCTGGGAGAACTTTTCCCTGAGAGTCTAACACTTTAGAAAACCACACTGTTTTGTGATCTCTGCACAAACTCAGTAATGCTTTCTGTTCCTATCACTTTCAGCAGACGCCTCAGCTTCTAATCCAGCACAGAGAGGATCACAGTGTGCATTATGATTTATACCAACATTACCATCTTTCACCCTGCAGTTTTTGTCCTACTTGGCATCCCTGGGTTGGAGGCTTATCATATTTGGTTGTCTATACCCATTTGCCTCATGTATGTCACTGCAGTCCTGGGAAACAGCATCCTTATAATGGTCATCATCATAGAGCATAGCCTTCATGAGCCCATGTATTTCTTCCTCTCCATGTTGGCTATTACAGACATCCTGCTGTCTACTACTACTGTGCCCAAGGCCCTGGCCATCTTTTGGCTTCATGCCCATGACATTGCTTTTGATGCCTGTGTCACCCAAGTGTTCTTTGTCCACACAATGTTTGTGGGAGAGTCAGCTATCCTGTTAGCCATGGCTTTTGACCGCTTTGTGGCTATCTGTGCACCCCTGAGATATACAACAGTGCTAACATGGCCTGTTGTGGGAAGGATTGCTGTGGTTGTTGTCATTCGAAGTTTTTGTATCATCTTTCCAGTGATCTTCTTGCTGAAGCGTCTGCCGTTCTGTCGAACCAACATTGTTCCTCATTCCTACTGTGAGCATATAGGAGTGGCCCGCTTAGCCTGTGCTGACATTACTGCTAACATCTGGTATGGCTTCTCAGTGCCCATTGTCATGGTCATATTGGATGTGATCTTTATTACTGTGTCTTATTCATTGATCCTCAGAGCTGTGTTTCGTTTGCCCTCCCAGGATGCTCGGCACAAGGCTCTTGGCACTTGTGGGTCCCACCTTTGTGTCATCCTTATGTTTTATGTTCCATCCTTCTTTACTTTATTGACACACCGCTTTGGGCATAACATTCCCCGACATGTTCATATCCTGCTAGCCAATCTTTATGTGGTGGTACCACCAATGCTCAACCCCATTGTCTATGGTGTGAAGACTAAGCAGATCTGGGAAAGTGTATCCCATTGGTTCTTTAATATCAAGATTTGGTGCTGTTCCTCTGCTTTGGACCGATAGAGCCCCATGAATCTTCATGCCCAGCTTCATCAAGGAAGCTAGGTAATGAAATACAAAGATTTCCTACACTTAAAAGGCTTTTCTTTCTCTTTCTTCTACTTCATCCTTCTCCTCTCCCCACCTTTTTTCTTCTCTTCTAGGTCTTCCTCTTTGCCTCCTTCTCCTGCTTCTTTGTTTTCTATATTCACTTCAACATTCCTCCCTACAACTAAGTGTACATGCTTCTGATTTGAGCATTTGGAATCTTCAGTAAACTAGAGGTACTCTAGAAGCATAGAACACTGAACATCACATGAAATAAGGTTATAAACAAGTGAATAAAATTAATTTTGCATTTAACTTATGAAGAAGTTCTTATTTTTTAAGATCTCAAATATGCATTGATTCTTTATACAGAATCAAGTAGCTCTCCACTCCCTTCTACAATGCCAGGTGTTTTTGAAAAAGCCATGTATTCCCTTCAGCCTTCTGAAACTCCATCTCATTCTTCAAATTTCAGTTCTAGAACTGCCTTCATGTGAAGTCTTTCCTAATTTCTCCTGAAAAGCTAAGGGTACTGTCTTTGCATATGCAATGCATCTTGTTCTGGTCTCTAAATGTGTGCAGTGAATTGTAATGAGCTGTTTATTTATAGGTAATGTCAATTGACTGCAAACTTCTTGAAATCACAAGAGTCCATATTTTTCCTCTTTTTACCCTAAATATGTTAAAAATGTATAGCATGCAATAAACATTTGAAAAGTGAATGAGAACGCAACTAACCTTCCTGGATTTAAAACAGTCATCTCTATGATATACTGAAATGACCAGTTAAATTAGTCTACAAAACCAATGATTAGTAAACCAGGTCCTCATGAGAGGCAGTTTAGCATCATGGAGGCAAGCCAGCTGCTGATGTGGGTACTTCTCATACCTTTGCTGCAACTTAGAGACCAGGGAATAGACAAAGCATGAAGAAATAGAGGATTTTTTTTGGTGGTACTGGGGCTTGAACTCAGGGCCTTGCACTTGCTAGGTAGGAGCCCATCACTTGTGCCAAATTCTTGGCTCAAGGTACTCTTGATTTTCTCTTTTACCTGGCTTTTGACAGCCAAGTATTAGGAATTATATCACACTATTCATGGTCAGGTTAGCAAAACTGGAATATTTTGTAGGGTTCACCATCTTGACTCATTCTTTCATGCTTTTCTAAAAAAAGGTGATGTCCACTCATTTTTCTTCAGTCACTACCTACAATAAAGAATTCTTAACTCCTGTCTAGTCCAGAACTCTCTTTTGAGTTTTAGACACCTATTATCTCTACCTATTAACTGGTTGTCTTCTCTAGGACCTAGAATTCTCCCTCAAGCCAACTTTTCTTCCTGTGTTTCTTTTCTTTTCTTGAGAAGTTCCTTTTTCCAGAGCTGGGAATCCTGGAGTCTTTCTCAACATCTTCCTCATAGGCCTGTTCCTCAACAAGTTATTGATTGGTCCTCCTACCAACAATACAACTAAACAGTTCTGTGGATGGTATTTAGAATCATATCAAGATTCAAGTCCTGTTCCCATTGTTTTCTGGCTATGTGAACTTGTGAAATTCATTTAAAATTTTTAGTTCTCATTTTTCACTTACAAAGTGGTTACCTTACAGGGTATCTTCATAGGGTTATTGAGAAGGCTAAATGAAGTAAATCATGCATATCACTTAATGTAGTCCTTACATTATAGTTTGGAAGAAATATTTCATTAATGTAAAGTCACACAGTCATTGGTTTCATTAGTTTTTTTTTTTTTAACTCTGCCTCTGCCAGTTACTTATGACCATTACCATATTCCATCTCAGGTATGTATTAGTTTCTTAACTGATTTCAATGTTTTTAATCTTTTACACTTTATCTTAAACTAAAAGTGACCCTAAGGTAAATATTATAAAAGGCAGAGAAGATCAAGCTACTTTCTTTCAAATACTTTGGATGATTCTTCATTACTTATACAGTGATCTCCACAGAATATTCTGTAGAAGTAGATATCAGGTATCAATGAATGTTTTATTTAAAAAGTTCTATGGTCAAATAAATGTGGAAAATGTTGACATTCTGTGAGTCATTCACAGGGCTGTCCAATAGAAGGTTTAGGTTTTCAATGTTTTCTACATTTCTGTGACCATAGATACCAGTTTCCATGTCCATATAATTTTTGTTGATAGCACATCAGTTTACATCTCTAATATAAGCTAGTGTTTCATTAACCAAAGTCTGGAAATTATAAAACTACAGAGAGAATTATAAGTTAAGCCTTAGCTTAATAATCGGGTCCTGATGTAGTTTTCTATCTCTATTTCAAAACATATAATAATATATTAATATATAACAATAATATTAATGATGATTATTATTATGTTTGGTATATGACATGTCCCTCCAAAACACTCATGTACTAATGGCTTGTTCCCCAATGTAGTATGTTCAGGGATGGGGCTTTGGAGAAGTGCTTGGATCATTAGGGCTGTCTTTATCAAAGGATTTATCCATAAATGAAATTATAATTTGTTGGCATTATTGGGAGGTGGTGGCAACTTTTGGAGCTGTAGCTTAGTTGTGAAAGAAGTAGGTCATTGAGGGTGTGCCCTTGAGGACTGTATTTTATCCATCTTCCTCACTCTCTGTTACCTGTCCACCAGGGGGTGAGCTCTTTGTTTCACTGCATTCTTCATGCCATGAAGAATGCCATAGCCCAGAAACACCAGAACAAAGTGATCGTGGACTAAAACCCCTAAAACAATGAATCAAAATAAATTTATGCCAGGTGTTTTGTCACAGCAATGGAAAAAGTGACTAACACAATTACAGTGATAGTTAATATTTACTAAAAGATCATTCTATGCTAGGATTCAAGTTAAGTGCTCTGTTGCATTACCTCATTGAATCTTCATACAACTTCAGTAGACAATGTTGTTATTATATTTGTTTAAGATGCAGGGGCAACCCAAGACTCATAGAGAATGAATTATCAAGGTCACAGTTTTGGTAAGTGGTCTAGTACTGATGTTAAGTTTCTCTTTGAAGTCTTTATCAAGGTCCCCAAGTCAAAGAAAATCATCTTATCCTGTGTCTTCACAGCAGTAACATTTATGGTCTCAACTGAATCTTAATTACTCTGCTTATGAAACCATCAGAACTTGAATTCTATGAGGGCAGAGAATATATCTTATCAGTATAATTATAGCATATAGCATAGGGTTAAATATATATATTTATTTATAGGTTGAAATATTGGCAAAATTATTGACCTCTGTAACCATCATTATTAAACACTACCTAATTTTCTGACTGAAAATCACACACACACACACACACACACTTAGCTCCTTCTGATCTTCTATTTCTTCTGTTTCTCTACAAGTTTCTGTGTATGTTGAGACTTGCAAGTATAGGTTGGGCCTTATCAATCTACATATCAATGAGCAGTAAGTCAAATAAATCCACTTTGTGTCCACATGTTAGTTAGAGATGTGGAGTCATCAGCAGATGTAGTATGTACAGAGTGTGCAGGAATAACAGATATTATCCACCCTTTCTGGTTGCTAAGTTAATGATTTCTGGAGGCTGATTCTGCTGGGGTTTGCTTCTAATTACACAAGATAACCCTAAAGAATAGTGGAAAGAAGCTGTCTCATGACCCGATGGATTCCTAAGATGAGGTGCAAGTACTGTTCCATTTCACTCCAGAGTCTGTCTTATGCAGCTTCTTTCATATGTTGAGGAAGAACTTCTTCAGCTGGGGAAAGTTTCTGGTCAGGGAATAAATGTTTGGATCATAGGATTTTTAGGTTTTCCTGGAATAGGTTCAATAAACTGTTGATTTAGACAAGAACTTCTCATGTTCTCTGGATAGTGTACTGTAGTGTAAGTACACATTTTGACATCTTGAAGTGTTCAGACATTTCTGCTATGCAATACTGGGACCAGAGTTATTTTCTTCCAGAATATTAAAGTAGTTTTAAATATTGAAAAGTAGATATATTAAACCTCAGAATTTTGTTTGTTTAAATAAGTTTATAATACAAAATTAAAATTTATTTTAATTTTACCAGCTTTAATGAAGGAAACTCATGAATAATATTTTAAAAATAAAGTTATAGAAAAATTTTAGGTGCTAAGAATTAATAAAATATATAAAGGGGGCTTCTCATTTCTCCTTTTATCTCAAGCTTCAAATATGGCTCAGTATTGGGTTGTGAGACCCTATATTTACTTAAAATTCTGAAGTTTTTGTTAATCATGAATTTGTTACTTAGAATTTGTTTGTTAAAATATTATTTAGTTTTATTGATGAGTTTTTTGGTACCTGCTTAAATTTTGCACCCAAGATATGTGTCTCACTCAACTTGTCTTAGTTATGGCACTTAGGAGTGAGTCAGCACCTGCAGGCCCTAGTCACAATGAAATGAAGCCCTGATGATGTCTTGAACCTTTAGATAAGCCTGATATTAAAAACAGTTTCTTTTCAGTTGCAGAAGCAGATATTCCTCTTTGAGATCAAGACAAAATGGAGATGAATTTTCTGTTCCTTGTAATGTAAAAAGTCCTGCTACACAGACAGTAAAAGAATTATTTTATACATTTTAACCTTCAATTTGCTTTTTTTCCCACTTGTTTATAAACTGTTGTGGGCACATCTTTTTAAAAATGGAAACAATACATTCCATTGTAATATATGTATCATAACTTATTTCTTGCCCTATTTATGGATAGTAAGTTATAACAATTTACTTTGTAAGAATTTAGCAACAAATATCCTTATAGATATATCTATATATTTCATGCTATAATTTCAACAGGAAGCTGCCAGAAATGAAACTACTGGATTAAAATTTTTACACAATTAAAAATTTAAAAAGCTATTGTCAAATTACTTTCTAAAATGGCTATACTAAGTTACCTACCAGCAAGCACTGGGGCTAATTGTTTTCCTTATTTTTCAACTTGATAGGAGAACTAAAATATTTAAATATGATTCTGATTTTCATTTCTGTAAATTTTGTACAATC